AAAAGTCAGCAGGAGAATGTTACCTCAGTAAAATTGGCTAAAATGGCAGAACTTTTATTTTGGCAAATAGCATGTGAGTGAATGAAAGAATTTGGAAATATGTTTTTAAAACTAATGTTTTCCAGTACTGTTGTTTTTCACTTGTGTAATAAATTTGTCTCTGATTCACTGCATACAAATCATATCTGTGTATCAAATCAAGATTAAATTATACTAAAATGTAGAGTAAAGGGCCAGAAATTCTGCACTGCTTGGAAAATGTTTTGTTTAACATAGCTTAGTTTCAAAAATCACTTCCTAATTTATTTGGTACCATACAGATTCATGAAATCAATATCTTATTAAATATTTTACACACTAATGTAACTTTTGATATGATTAGTGATTTTCTCTAATACAGAAATGTTGCGTGTAGGCCATTTTCAACATCAGGCAAGGAGGACCGGGTGGCTACTGATTCCAGAGCCTAGCCGGAGCTACCATGGATTTCTAAAATTACATGATATACAGAAATTCTTCTCCTGAATTACTTGTAGAGTAGGAATAGGATATCCACCTAAAATACAAGAGTTAGCTAATGAGTATTAATAGAGGCTCAAGTTGAAAGTCCTGCTTCTGGATATAACTGAATAACTTACAGTCAAACAAGGAGTTCATTCTAGCAGAAATGTTTAATAATACAAATTAAGTAAGATGATGATGATGATGATGATGATGATGATGACGACGATGATGTTTGAGAACAAGCAAATCCACTAGGACAAGAAACTCAATGTCTCAAAAGGAAAGATATCACATTAAAAAGAACCTGACATTCTGTCTCAGAATGTTTTTAATCAAATATTTTTAATATCCAAAGCAGTGTAGAGTAAAAGTGAAGAAAAGACTGGGCAGAGAGAGGCTCAAGCCCTGGAGGGGTCTTTGGCAGGCACATGTTACTGAGGACATGAAAGCTGGAGACTTTCAAAGTAGAGGGCCAAGTTCAAGCTTTGCATGGAGAGTTTCTTAGAACAAAGGAAAAAAACTGAAAATGTATTAGGGTTTACAGAAATAAGAAGAGAGGCATATTTAATTGGGGCAATATTTCCCAAATATCAATACATATCCCAATAGATTTATCTTAAAAAGAAGGCAATGTCAGCCAATATGTCTACAAGGTACTCAGTTTGATGTTTGGTTAAGGTTTCATTCGTTATGATAGACGAGAGAGGACAGCGAGTAAAAACAAAAGATCATCAACATGCAACAGCTCAGGTCACTAAGGGATTGACATTACCAAGTGCACATTGAGGTGATTCTAGTTAGTGTATTTTAAAGTATACTGTAAGAAGAGGTACTTCAAAGAAAATGGGAATATACAAAGCTTAAATAGGTATTCCTAGAGATTAAGAAAAGACATACTTTTTCATTAAGAAAGATGTAGAAATTCAAAGAAATACCCTGGCAAATTCCAGTGTGCATAGTTCACATATCTACAAATAGTGCCATAAAATTAGCTTAACTAAAGTCAGTGACTCACCCACATGACTCAAATCAAAGTGATACAATACACTAATAGCAACTGAATAAACAGTTCACTGCCAATCTTGCAACAACAACAACAACAAAAATCTCCTTGCAAGTAATGGGTGTGAATTCTGACCAGTAAACTAATCCTGTCCTTGCTAATGTCAAAATGATTTAAATGGGAACTTGATTACAGCAAAGTCTTAGTAACTGGGACTGTTTCACTTCCATGATCTTTTTTCTCTCTTTTTACTCTCTGTCTTCTCTCTTCCATCATACAGAATGAAGCTTTGATTTGGCTTAGAGAGACAATAATACACATGTTGTTGCACATTCAACTTGCTCCCCAGTGATAAATAATACATGTGAGAATCTGCTAAAAAGGAAAATCTAAAGAGGAGATTAAAATGCAGCAAAGGAAAAAGGCAATGCAGGAAGTACGATCTGATCAATGGACAGTGGGGTTGTGGAAGGAACCAGCAGTAAGAATGTTGACTCAGAAGACCAGACATGCAGGCAGAGGAAGACAGAGAAGCTGCAGTCATCACCAGAAATAAGGAATGCAGTTTTGACAGAAAGAACAAGAGTTCCTAGAGCAGTGGTTCTCAACCATCCCAAATGCTGTGACCCTTTAATACAATTCCTCATGTGGTGGTGACACTATGACATTATTTTAATTCCTATTTCATAACTGTAATTTTGCTACTGTCATGAATCATAATGTAAATATTTTTGGAGAGAGAAGTTTGCAAAAGTGGTTGCAACCCACAGGTTGAGAACCTTGAGAACTGCTGTTCTAGAGGATCCAATGTAAAGAAACAAAGTTCATGCTAAAGGAACTCTTGGGGTGTTAAATAACATGAAAAGAGTGAGGAATCAATACCAGAAGCTGGTCTGTGGTAACCAGTATACACAAGGCATAGAAAATTTACCATCATAAGAAAACGCTAGCTTTGTCACATGAGTAATATAAGACAAAGGGGTCTCATAAGAAAAATACAAGCAAAGGTAGAAGTACTTTGGTGTCTTTGGGACTTGGTAAAGAAATATAACACATTGATTTTCTCTCTTGCCATTGTTTTAAATCAGAATGAACTAAGGAGTCAAAAGCAGCTCTGTTATATTTACTCTCCCACATATGTTTCATACAAGAGCATTGGAAGTGAAAAATGTCTTAGGGGTCATGAAGCCATCATAATATTTGTATTTATTGTTGTCAACTATAGTCATTTTAAAAATTTTTTATTGGATATTTTATTTATTTACAATACAGATGTCATCCCTTTTCCCATTTTCCCCTCCCTAGAACCCCCAATCCCATGCCCTCTCCTCCTTCATGTTTTTATACCCATTTTTATATTTCACAATACCATGTGAAGCAAGGGCTGCCCCCCTCAGTGTGTGTGTGTGCATGAATGTGTGCATGCATGTATATGTGTATGTGCAAGAACATATATATATGGGGCAACTAAAAGACCATTATCAAAGTATTATTTTAAGTTATCAGAAAAAGAAACACAAGTTTAAAGCATAATTGTAGTTCGATGGCTAAAAACTTTTTTAGAATATCCACAGTTCTGAAAACAAACAAAAACTGAAGAAAACAATTAAAAATGAAAGTGTACATTTCTCTGGTTGGTTATATGAAAACTTAGGAAAAATGATAAACCCTAACAAGGCTGAATAAAAAACAAATGATAAAATTCATATAAAATTTAAAGGATAATAATTGAGATAGCTAATGCATTCTGAGGAAAAAGGGAAGATATTTAAGACTTATGCCACGTGATTTAAGATTGATTAAAATGTTTGGTACTAAGAAGTGTACTAATATTCCAAAAAATATATTAGCAAAGTGCAGAATCAATTCTAGAAGTTGACACAGGAAAGCATACTTTTGTAGGTGTGGATTTATTACACCCTACAATATGTACCAGAGACAAAGGAAACAAATCTGTTAGATACCACTAGGATTTGGAGCTTAGTTCCTTTAATAGTACCCTTAGGAGCAAGGATCAGTTACTAAGTTTTGCAATGAACTGAAGAACTCACAAAAAAATTGTATTCAGAAAATTATGAATGTGTCATATGAATTAAGGATATGCTATGTAACCCAATGAAAAACTAAATAAAGTCTTGACTGTGCATAAAAGACAAGAAAATAACAAGGATGCACAAATGGGCACTATCCATAGAAAAGATTCACTGTCTTGTTGATTATACTGTGTATCTTGAAGACACAGAAGGATACTAAAACCCACTCAAAAGAAGAGGTAAAAATTAAAACCTAAAATATCAAGTATTGCTGAAAATGTAAGACAAGTGACAAATTAGCAGATCTCTCATGGGATATAAATTAGCATGACCAATTAGAAAATTATTTCCATTTTCCTATCAAAACTATCCAACCAATAACCTATCATTTCTAAAGATACTCATCAGTTTACATATGTTCACTAAAAGAAATGGACAGAAAGACTTATAGCAGAACAAGTTGTAATGGAAATATAGAAAATTTGTAGATAATCCAAATAAGATATTTTTCAACATAAGTAATTGAGTTGTCAATATTAGCACATTTTTTTATATTGGAATGAAGATGAACATTTTGACTAAGGAGAACAGTAGGAATGAATCTTGTGACTCTAAATATGGGTGAGAAAATGTTAGACACCAAAAGAACACGTATAATTTTTTTAAAGACAAGTTCTCTCTACATAGGCCTGGCTGTCCCAGAACTCTCTATGTAGATCAGGCTAGCCTCAAACTCACAGAGAGATACCTGCCCCTAACCCTACCCCTGCCCCTGCCCCTGCCCCTGCCTCCTAAGTGCTGGGATTAAAGGCATATACCACAATATCCAGTAAGAACACATTGTCATGTTTTTCAAATAAACGTAAAACTGGGTTGAAGATGTGCTGCAGTCAACACACTGCATGCCTATTACGTGTCAAACCTTGGCTTCCCTTAGCAGCATTGCACAGCTGGGTTGTAGTGGTATACACCTGTCATACCAGTACTCAGCAGGAGGAGTAGGAGGATCAGGACCCCAAGGTCATTCTCAGCAGCATAGAGCTTGAAAACAGCCTGGGCTGCCCAAAACCCTACCTCAAGTAACAAAAACAGTCAAAAGTTGTGCAAAAGAAAGACATCTAGTAGATACATTTGCAGTGCAACAGACAAGGGGAATATCGAAATCTTTGCCATAGTGATATCTAACACCCTGTGCCTCTATTTCTATGAATAACTGGGGTATTTGACCTATCCATTTCTAATTTTATATGTTTGTGGTACTTCTTACTTTCCTAGAGTGATTACCCATATGGATGTCTAAACTTCAGAGAAAGATGAAAGTAAATTTAAGATGTAAATTCTTTGAGATAACAAAAGGAACATTTTTGATGAATCAATCAAATGCCAGATTTTACCCATAAACTTGCACATATGCATGTCTCTATTTACAGGCTATCCAGATAGATATTTGGGTCACTTACTTCAAGCCAAATTTCACTGTCCTTTTGAAGGTTATCTTTAGACTGCTCACTGCCCGAATCTTGGTCTTTCTTCAGACTGAAGACACAGGGAAACCAGCCAGGAAAGAGATGATAGGGGGAATCCGGGTGGTGTGAAGTACAAAGCTGAAATGAAGTATCAATCCCAAATTAAGTGTGGTATGCAGGAGGTAAATAAAGTCAAGAAAGCTCTCTAGCATAAAGCTCACTTTTCTCTCTTCTAAATGCCTAATGACCACACTAGTAGATGCAGAATACAGAAAATTAGAGTGCAGAAAACTCACAATTCATATCAAAGAATTTCTCAATCATCTTATCCTCAAGATGTATCTTGCCAGGGTAGAAAACCACACAGGACAACTTTCTGTCCATCATCAGTGTGGGAAGGTGCCCAAAGAACCATTCTGGTACTCTTTAGGTGACTGATCCAAGGGTTCAGTTTGCAACTCTTTCCAATGTGTTGGTTAGGTCCTTACCAATCAACATCAACTGCCCCGGTAGGGAGGATACTGAACCAGGCAGACAGGGAGTGCTTGGCTGGGTAGAGAATCCAAGAAGCAAAACTTCAGGAAATATTTCCTACTACAATTAAAGAAGACATTCAGGCTAGACTAAAAGCCACTTCAGAGAGCTGCCATGAACTCAGAATCACCAATTCTTCTGGCTCTTCGTCACTGAGCAGCAGAACTCCAAGGAGACAAATGTCATGACTTGGCAAAGAGAAGGTGGCAGAAAAGGCTAGTCACATCATTGTATCTTCTTGCTCATCATCTTTTCATTAAAGAACATTAGCTTTGTTCAAAGTTATACAGTTAGATAAATGTTCATTTCTTCGAGGTTCCCTACAAATAAGGATGACTAAATACACCAGTAAGATGGGGTGAAAAATCTAGTGTTGAGCTTCCAGAAAATTTGCCATTTTTCCAGTAAACATGGGCAAACACTCAACTGTCATGCATAAACATCCCTTTGACCTGGTTCCTTCTTCCCCTACCCCATGTAAATCTCAATGCAAGGTTCTGGTTACACAACTCAGTGAGAAAGAATTTGGTAACTTCTAGGATCTGAGTTCAAACCCCAGACAACACACATGAGCATGTGCGATGTTAGTAGCAAGAAAAAGGAAACTACAGACTCTAGAATGGAAGTGCTGGAATCTACACACTGGCATCCTTGATGAGACAGCAAAACAGGCACCTTGAGTTGCACCTTATACCTATTCAAAAATGCCTCCTCACAGCAGGAATTTGCAATACAGTTCTTTCATCCTGGCCTAAAATACTCAGAGGCCTGGTTGCTATTTCTGGAGACTATCTTAACCATTGATTGGAGAGTCTACTTGGTGATGAAACCATCAGGAATGGTACCCAAGAGCCAACTGCCCTTTGTTTTGTCTTTAATACTCAATCTCAATTCACCATTCCCATTAGTGTGGTCTCTGAGAGTCTTCTCAAGATCTCCCGCTAGGTAGATAGGGGGAAGAATCAAAGAATTCACTCAATTCACTTTAACTACTAGCTCTAGCACTTCTTCAATAATAATTTAAATAAAATTTATTCTCTACTGGCCTGTTCTATGCAAAAGATATCAACAAATGTGGACCCAAAGAAGTTAAGTGATTTGTCCATACTCATATAGTAACAGTAATAGTAATGGGTCCAGCTGTGTAATCCAGACTTTATGATCTCTTATATTGCTGTCTTTTATCCATTTACATTAACCTCTACCAACATGTAGAAACCAAACATAATTTATAATAGCTACATGTCTTTGTTAGACTTCAAGGTTCTTGTATATACCTTGAGTTAGATGATTGACGTTGTTGAGGTTGAGTAGCATACTAGATTTTATGACTACTCTAGGAGGTTCTCTGCTAACATTATCTTTTTCTGAATTTGATGAGGATAAAACAGGATGATAGCATCTTAGATAAAGTTCAAGCTCCCAAATATCCAGACAGTCATGACTAGATTTTCCGGCTTAACTTACCATTGAATGAGGTTCTCCTGTTACCAGAGAAACAGGACACTTCTTCTTGTCTTCATGGTAGGAATATGCCTGGCTAGCCCACTGGTCCAAATATCCTTCAGGAGTATGGAGGCCACAGTCTATGATGATTGTTTCCTTCTCAAAAGCTTCACAAATCCCATCTCCCTCATACCTGTAGCAAAGGCTTGGCTCCCCTGAAAAGTAACATGGATAACATTTAGATTTTTTTCCATATCTTTAGGGAAAAATTAAAATGATAGTATTCCCAGTAATTCTTCTCCAACCCTCTAAAGACAATCTTGTGATAATTGGAGAGTGTAGTACTTGCCAAATCACCAACTTCAACCCTCTTGGAGAAGAGGGGTCAATCTTTATGAGGGGAGAAGTGGAATCTAATAAAGTTTAGGAAAGATTGGACTTGGGGGAGGAAAGTAAAGAAGGTAAAGCACTATTAACTGGATGTAGGGGAAAAGTTGATTGTATTTTATTTATATTGTTGAGATTTAATGCAACAGAATCTTAAGTAGCCCAGGCTGGCTCTGAACGCCTGATCTTCTTGTCTCTTGAGTGTTAAAATTACAGGCATGTGCTATCATGTCCAGCCAAGGTATTGTAGGAAAAGTTGAATGAGATGTGGAGTATGTTAGAAATACATGGAACATAGGAAAAAAGCAGAAGTAGAATTTAAATAATTAGTACAATGTAGACATATTTGAGTCTCTTTTACTGGTTTTTAAAAATTCAATTATTTAAGGAGTTCTTCACCAAATTAAGATTTACTTTAAATTACTCTTGCCACTGAGATGCTTTTCTGTGAGAACATAACTTCTCAGGAACTGTGTGAAAGTGTGCTGCATAGATTCTGGATCATAGAGGCTGCAGGTCTCTCAGCTTAGGACAACCATAAAGTGGGACGGTTTCTTTCTTATTCTTATTGTTTGTTTTATAAATGAGAAATACACGTCTAAATGAGTTTGTCTGACTTGAAAAGTGACCCTGGTAATCTTATGGGGCTTGATTTGAGCAAGGCTTACATAATATCCTCCCTCCGCCTGGACTACCTCATACTGAAGCAGAGCACACAAACAAGACAGGAATATTTGGGGTAAACTGTTGGAGTAGAAAGATGAGCCTGAATGTACTGGGCAGGTTCTATCCCTCCACACAGGACAGTTCCTACTACGTGTATAGTATTGCCCTTTGTAGACTGGCTTCTTTCAGTGTGAGAAGCTGTCCACAAAAATGTAGGGCAATTACTATTGATACAACAATTCAGTTTCTCATATATACTTAAAGCAATAGGATACTGAAGTAGAATTAAGATTCATACAAATCCATACTATTCAGTGAAGTTATCGCTAAGATTTATTATTACTGTGGCATGTGTTTCATTTCATTTTTTCTTCTTCATAGAAATTCCATAAATATAGTCTGGTAATTTGTCAGCTGCTCACCAACATACAGTTATTATTTTCCTTAATAATTGCCTGAGATTTACCCTTCCGTGGTAAATCTACTTCTGCATGCCAGTGTAAGCCACCCTTTACAGGACATGGTTCTAAGCCCATTTGAAGCCTTTATCTGCAGTCGATCAAATTTATGGCGTCCTCAGTGTCTCATCCAGCATATGTACATTTGAAACCACATTCCCAACAGAGCAAGCTGCTCCTCTATCTCTGCCTTTGTTATTATTTATGACAATCATATACATATATAATATAGAGTCTATCCATAACTCAGGGACTGCTCCTATTCATTTCTTGTTTTTTCTTTTAATCACAGTGGGGAAAACATTCTTGTTTTTGTTTTTGATTTCTTGCAGTTCTATAAGAAAATATGCTTTAAAATCCCATTTAAGATGTTTCTTCCAATCTAATTTTTTAAAAAAAATAACAGAGTAAAATCATATGCTTAACATACGATAAATGTATTCATCAAAAAAGATGTCTAATAGTAGGATATACAGCATCAATTTAACTCAGTCAATTACTTAAATATAAGCTTAAATATGGCATTTAAGTATAGTTATAGTAATTGTGATATAGTCTTACTAGAGTTGAGAGGCTGAGAAAATATGAGTCGAAGGATCAAATAAGATAGAAACAACATGAATGCTGTTCCTGAGTTAAATGAGACTTGAGCCCCACTGGAGACGGTGCAGTGTGTTGAGAATGTGTGCCTATTTTCAGTATGTGACCACTATGTGGCTACCAAGAAGAAATGATACAAACAGAGGTAGCATTAACAAATACTTGTGCACAAAAGAGGGGGGTAATTTGTTCAATATACTCTGCATAGCCAGACCACATCTGGGATATTGGATTCCTTTCTGGGCATTGACTATACAAAGCGTGCCAGGGTGAGGTAAATAGGAAAGGGTCTGGAAACCTAATCACATGAGGGGGATGTTTGGATTGGAAAGGAGAATAGTGAAGAGGCATTTCAAATATCTGAATGGTAGTCAAATAAAACAGGAAAAAATGTATCCTCTGAAGCTTCATCATACAAAACTCTCACTTGATTCAATATAAGTGAAGTTACGTTCTAGGGCCAGATTGGCAGAGCCCTTGTATACCCTTTGATGAGTCACTAAGATGGCCTGAGCCTCATATACAAAATGAAAACTGGGAGACAAAAAATTATAACAGATAAGGCCATTATAAAGGAGAATCGTCTGATTCAAGTACATTAATCATTACCAGAATTATCTAAGCCGAAACTATGCACCCATATCTCAGGATTGGATAGAATCAACTTCTCTAAATGAAAAACTGGACTCTAAACAACTCCTGGTCCATCTATCTGGAAGGAAGCAGTCTTTTTTCAGATGTTATTGCATTATAGGCATTAAGGTGCATGTGATGCCACTTAACACATGGTACTCAGTGGATCATTGTTTGGATGGGTGAAAGGCTAGGTAGACACAAAGATAATGCTAAGATTCTATGACTCAGAGACTTGGTGCTGAAAACGAGGGGTTTACCATGTTTTATGTAGCAGTTGACACCTTAGTAATAGGTTCTACATATTATAATATGCTACATTGTCTTAAGAGTTAAGGATGCTGAAGTGGTTTCAAATGCACTGATATTTAAGACAAGTTTGATGTAGGGGGTTCTACTCCAGACAATTTTTACAATGTATGGGATAGGAAATAATCTGCATCTGAGAAATTTTTCCATGGATAGTTCATTGTAACTAGGGGGAGCATTGTGTGCTACCTCTCAATGCCAAGAGTTTAGTTATGGAGTCATCTAGCTCTAATTTATTATCACTTATTTCCTGACCTTAATTTGTATATAGAAACTAGATGATTGTTCTGCTTACCTGGCATTTTGGTATAGACATGAGGACCCAAGAAAGGTCTTGGTAAGGTCAAGCTACGGACCAGTACAATCTGTTTAGGATGAAATTCTAGATCTGATCTCCCTTGGCTTAAATCCTAACTAGCACTTTCAGATAAATAAGCAAAAATAAATCACTTGAGCCTTTTGTGCCTCCATTTAGTTTCTTCATGGTTAACGTGAGAATTATATTAGTGACTATATGTGAAGTATTTAATGTTATTGCTTCAATCATCATTAAGATACAGGACACTAAAAATTTACAAAATAATACATTGACATAGCTCTAAAAGTAAGACATAATCCCAATCTCCTAGACTCACCTGCACAACTGAAGCCTTCCTCCAGTTCACATGCTCTTGAGCACCCATCTCCGTTCAACAGGTCTCCATCATCACACATTTCTCCCAGTCTCCTAGAAATATACATTTAGACACACACAGATGACTTTACTCATTCAGCTACCATCAATTAATTCATTTAGAGTCCTCATTATGCTTTAAAAATTAAAAGCTGTGTAAAAATAGATATTTAATAATCTACAGAAAATATTAAATAAGCAATATTTAAAGTAGATGCAAGGTTAGTAGATGGTAGATTAGTATGCATCAGGGGGTTGTAAGAATTTCTAGAAATCAAGTGAATTATGGCTCCAGAACATCTGGGAGAACCTCGGAAGTGTGCCTGGCAAGATTCACCACCAGTCCTGTGACAAATAGAGTCTTGGAATTAGCTGATTTGTGTCCTTCAAATTTGCTGTATTTATTTATTAGATGCAGTGATTCACAAGAACAGTAGCATTGCTGTATACTAATAACCAAGTATAGGAAATAGAATTCAAGAAAGCAATTCCATTTGGAATGCAAATTATATAATCTGGATGAAGGAAGCTGAATAGAACATGCACACACACACACACACACACACACACACACAGGATTAATATGTAATCCGGAAATTCCACTCCTGGGTATACCCAAAGGAAACAGAATTAGTATGTCAAGCAGTTGTCTGTACTTCCATGTTTATTGAAACATTATTCGACATAGCTAAGAGATAGAAACCACCTAAGTGTCAATTAGCTGATGCAAAGAAAAAGAAACTGTGCCACATATCCAATAGAATACTATCCACCCTCAAAGGAAAATGAAATCCAGTCCTTTGTGGCAGTATAGATAAAGACGGATATCACGCTGAGTAAAGCAGGCACAGAAAGAGAAGTATCCTATGATTTTGTTCATATTTGGTAAAAAAGAGTTTGATCTCATACACATTAAAGTAGAATGTTGGTTAACAGAGACTGAGGTAAGCAGAGACAAGAGAGTGATGGGGAAAGGATTATTGGTATGTTCTGAATTACAATGACATGGGAGGAAGTTATTATGTACTATTGCTCAGGGTAATGACTAAAACAAATATGTGTGGTGTATTCAAGATGCTAGCAAGAATTTGAATTGCTTATACTCGAAGGGAGTGATATATGAAGAGGTGGGTATGTTAAACCTATTTAAATATTACATTACACAATGCATCAAAAACATCACATGGTATTTGTGCATTTAATATTTTTATATAAAAGCAAATACTATGTTTAATTAAAAGATATTGGCCATTTTAAAAACTAGGCACTGAGTTACACACTACTCTAGAGACATAGAGTATTCCGAGTCAGCTTTGTACACACAGATAGACCCTCTCTAACAAAACAACAAGGCCAACAAAACAGAAATAGCTAACCTTTGTCATCTTACAGCTCATTTGTGTCATCTTAATTTCTATTCATTGTACCTAATTTTAAATCATTTTTCATTTAATCATTTTCCTCTGCAAAGGTAAAGTTATAAAATTCAAAATATTTCAGAACTGAATCTCCTGTTTACATATAAATAAGAGATTAAGTAGCACCAATTGCAGGTGTCTTAGTCAATGACATAGCTAGGGTTCAAGTCACTCTTCCTAATTCCTAGTGGCAAATGTCATATATGACAGGAAAAAAGAAAACATCATCTTTGAACTTTAGTTGATGTCTAAACGTACGTTGAGGTAGATAACTTACTCCACATTGAGATTTCTTTTATAAAGCATATTATGGGAACAAAATAGAGAAAAACTAAGTTGACACTTGCATGAAAAAGTAAAATTTGGCAGTTATAAAATGGTTATGACTTACAGTTTTCTTCTTTACATTTCAACATGTCCAATTTGGTATATATTTTAGCTCTATATATAAAGAAATCTGAAGTTCTAAAAGGTTCTCAGAATCAAAATGTCACAAATAGCTCCAGTTATTATTCAAAGTATTCTACAGATATGGATTAAAGATGAATTATACATGAGAATATTTATAAATACTAAAACTATGGTTTTGATGCAGAACACAGTAATTATATCTAAAGTTGTAGGATGAAACAGGAGATGGGAATAAAAACATAGGAAAAACATAGTTGAAGGAATTGTGTGTGGCTGAATAGTAGAGTAGAGCATTAGCCCAGTTTGTAGAAAGCTTTAGTTTAATCACCAAAACTGAAAAAAAAAAAGTTAAAAAAGTCACACCCTCTAAAACTACCTTATACATACATCTTATGTCATACATTTTTGAATACTGTTCTTAAGATTTATTTATTTCTAACATTTATGAATGTTTTGCCAGTGTGTATATCTGTGCACCTGGTACAATAGAGGCTAGAAGAGTGTTGGATCCCCTGGACCACTGTGAGCCAGCTTGTGGGTTCTGGGACCATTCATTTGGAAGAGTATCCAGTCCTCTTAACTGCTCAGCCATTTCTCTAGCCCCTTTAATTCTTTTCAGACAAAGGCAATATGGATCACTAGAAAGAGACTGCCCCAGGTACCTGGTCTACCATGTGATATTCAGGAAGCATCTCCATACTCCACTTCTTGTTTACTCGTGTATGGAGAGAGGATTGGACAATAGACTCTACACTAATGTTTCCCTGCCTGGGGTCTGGGACATAATCTTGAAAAGAGGCAACTTTACAATTTATATTTGAAAAAAATTCATTTTGTACAGTGCTGCCCAATAGAAATCTAATGAGAGCTGTACATAATTTTGAAATTTTTAGTAGTCACTTAAAAAGTAAAAGAAAGAGGTAGAATTAACTATAGTACTGTATTTCATTTGACGGTGATACTTAAAATATTACCATTTGAATTTTTAATCAATATAAAATGATTGATGAGACATTAGAATTCTGTTTGTATCCCAAACACTTAAGCATTTAATTAACACATTTTCACTTAAATCTTGTTGCAATACTTGCCTTTTACTTCAACTTCATATTCATTTATCATAGCTGTTCCAAACTTTCAAGTAATACTTTTTTTTTCTTTTTTTTTATTTACTTTTAAAAATCATATTGTTATTTTTACTTATTCACACAGGGGTTATAAACAAAAATGTCAGGACATGGAGAAGGGGATGACACCAGAGCGTGGGTGTTCAGCGGGAGTACAGATATCTTTCGGAACAGGGTATCGGCTGGGTGAAGGTTCAGGGGACAGGTCACTATGGCTCTGCCTATGATTCACTTTTCCTTATCTAAGTTGGTATTATCTGGCAAGGCTACCTATTTACAAGGTCTATGACTACTCAGGCTGGTAAATTTCCACAAAAGCTGCCTGTTTACAATAGCTTATAACCATCCGTTTCAATGTTTTTCCAAAGAGACCCAAGACTTGGTGTTAGTATACATGTATGACAAGCCTATTGCTGATTTTAGGCCTATGGCTGATTTTAGGCCTTCAGTGTATAAGCAGTGCTGCCCCAGACATCTCCCTTCTCTAAGTATAGAAAGGCTGTGGTGATTCTAATATTGCAAAGGTGGGGATAGAGGCATTTTTTTTCCCTAACAACTGAATTGTGTTTCAGTTTGAAAAGAAATTACCTTAATTACATCAGGATAAATATCGCACATCTTAGTTGCACCTAACACATTTTGAAGTCTTAAGTGCCACATGTGTCAGCTGACAGGTGGACAGCATGGGCTGAGAAAATCAGCTTCCAAATGAGTGCTGCTCAACCTCTCAGGGCCCTCCTTAGTGCTCAGCTTGATAGTTTTCTATTCTGAACCAAGTGGCTTAAACAATGTACTTGCCTCCTTTCTGCCTTGTGTATTGGGTTGTCCCCAGATGAAGGACAGCTGGGATTCAGAAATGGCTCCCTTCAACAATAGTATAGATTTTCTAGCCAAGGAATGCAAACAGAAGCTAAGAAAGTACATTTTGGCATGGAACCTTGTGAGACCCACTAGAAGAGAATCACTGCCTCTAGTTAAGCTGCTTCAAGGGCTGGGAGTAAACCATGTTGGGAAGATGGCCCTTCACCACTTTCTGCTAAATACACACAGGCAAGTGATATCCTAAGGCTTTATAGTGGCCACCATTGAAAAGATGGCACCCGAAGAGAACTAGCACACTGAGGAGGAGCTAGGGAGGGGTAAGGACAAACAAGTGAGATTTCTATATTTGACAATTTCTATTGTATTCAAATGGGAAAGAACATTTAGTATTTATGTTTTAGTATGATGGAATATGATTATACCATAGCTTGAGAATCTTAAAAGACCAAGAAGATAAACAATATTCAATGATCAATAGTTGGATGGAATCCCACAAAAGGCTAGAGAATGGAATATATATTTTCCTCATCTGAGAAACTGAAAAATGGGCCATCTTAATAATACATAGAATTTGACAACGCATCATACTTTGCCTCCCAGGTTTCTACTCCCAGCAGCTTTATGTAAGTATAGGTTTGATGAGTATGAAGGATATGTTAGATGAGGATTGACCAACTGCCCTAGGTATCCTAGGACTGGATATATGTCCATACTAAGCTTGGACACATTCCAGGCAAACCCGATGAGTTCGTTCCTTAAACTGATATCACAGGTCATTAGAAAAATGATCATAGGATGTAAAGGAACCAAAGGAATAATTCTATCTTTTCCTTGGTTATGTTTACAGAAGAGCTGTAAGTGGGCCAAATGAATAACTCCTTTTCCTCAAATCACAGCCAGCTAATAAAACTAAACAAGCAGACAATTGATCCAAACTCTATCCTTCTTTAGTATTTTTTAACCATCATCTATAGAAATTCCTCCCCTACCTCACTACCCTGCAGTTCTTCACTGAGGCCTTAAGGGGGCCCCAGAGAAACATCCCAGTATTTCAACACTCTGGGGACCAATGTCAAAGAAACTCCTTCAGCACTATGAAGAGAGGCCAGTGACCTCTTAAGACGCCAGAATTTTCTACAGGAGAATCATGCATTCCCTCATCCCTATGCATTTTTAGGTTGAGTCAAGCTCACACTGAGGTTGAGCCTCTCTGAGCAGGGGAGCTCGACCTAGCTCACACATCACACGGTCTCTCATACATGTAACTCACCTTTCTACCTTTCCATCTCCACAGTAAGGACCTCCATGAACATGGCTCAGAGGAGGTGAAGCTTCTCCAAGTTCCCCTCCAGCTTCAGCTTGAACTTGGTACTGATACATCTGCCCGGGGATGACCTCCCTGTGAAAACCAATAAGATTACGACCTTAACATCTGCAAAGTGGCATATCCTTTGTTGGTGGCTCATATGAGTTTAAGGAAACTATTAGGTGAAACAAAATGTGAAATGTGCTAATTGTCTGAAACAAAAATAAATGCCCAATCTTATGAGCAGCCTCGTGTTTGACTACATAGTTATTTCTATTGGCCCCATATGTGTTCCACTAGTAAATGTAGCCTGGTGAGTTAACACAATATAATAGGCTCTTAGAAAGTAGGAGGATGTCATGTAATGTTTTGAATCAAGGAAATATAGAACAACTATTGAAAACCAGTAAGCTTTATTTTTAAAGTAATCAAACTAAGTGAAGATTAGAATTTCAGTGTGTGGGCTTAGTCATGTCCTTTCTTGGATTTGTGGGCCACAGTTTTCTTAAAAGAGAAATTCTTGCCTTGGAAGGACTGGAACAAGTATTTCATAGAAGTAAGCACACAACTCAATACCACTTGGAAGGGGTAAAAATTTCCAGTTCAAAACACACTAAATTGGTCTCTACCTCCAAATGCCAAGAATGGAGTTGGTAGAGTTGACTTGAGAGATTGAAGGAATGTATCAGACTCTCTGGTCCCTGGTGACTTGATCAAGTGGTAAGTGTATGACACAAGACATTGATTTAGTAGTAAAAGAGCTCATGAATGGAGCTGCAGGTTTCAAAGATGAATTGTGCCTCATCTTAATCTTATCCCAGAGATTGTCCCGATTGGAAATATACCACCCAACTCAAGATAGAATGCAAGTATTTAGGAGGACATGATCACCGCGATGAATTATTATGACTGCCACAAGTGGGCAGTGAGGATTTCCTGCCAAGATTCTTGTTTTCCTTAACAGACACTTTAATGCAACCACAGAGTCACCACCCCACAAACTGATGTAGCAACCAGCAAACAGGAAATGTCTTGGGGTTTCCAAAATATCTTTAAAATCTTCTATACTGGCTTTTAGGTATTTTAATAGGAAAGACAATTAAATATTAAAGACTCTTAAATTTTCAAATTAGTTTTCCCTTTTGAGAAAGAAATCCTCTCCTGAGAGTGTCAGATGTTGTTTTTAAAGCAAACCCAATTTTATTCCAATCAATGTTGGTGGTTTGTTTCCTTTATTGGGTGGTTTCTTCTTGCCCAACCATGTTTAAAAGTCTTATACTGCTCTGTATCTGGGAACAGGAATGGATAGAAATGTTATTGTGTGTTTATTCTTATCATGGGAAAAACACAGCAGCAGGTAACTTGGACCTCCCATAAGCTGAGTCTGTGAAGGGCAGTGTCTACTAAGGAAAGAGGATGAAATCAGCTGGAAATGAAGTTTGAATCCTAGGATGTCCATATATTAGCTCTGAGGCCAAGTGTAAGCCAAGGCTTAGTTTTCTATAAAACAGGATATTATTGGCTTTAAATATTTATGTGCTGATATCATTATAAAATAAACATATCAACTGCCTAACTGCAGAATCTAAATCATGCTAAGTTTTCTTTCTAAATGCACCTCATGATCTGAATTTCATTTGTTTTTATCTTTTGGCAATTTTTTAACCTTCTGATGCTAAAGAAGAGAACAACCATGGAAAGAAGACTATACTGGATCTCAAACTGGACATTTTCTTCCAGGTTTTATAGCTGTGGTGGATTGCCAAAAGTCCACCCCATCTGAGATGCACACCTGTACAGTGTGTGTGACCCCAGTCTCTCTTTTTAAGAAAAGGTAGTTTATCATCTGAATCTGGAATTTTACATGTAATGTTATCAAGAAGAATTTGTATAAGAGACTTGAAAATTACAAGTAATGGGGAGTTTGCTCTCCTTGTTTCTAGGAATTTCCCTGGAAACAGCTATTCACCCATGGGAAGCAGCCCAAGATACGGCTTAAGTAGTCATGAGGAATAGGGTCCTCACATTCCTAGTCATGTCTGCTGTCTCAGCTGAGGCCCCCAATGTATGTATGATGTTATCCTGGGATCAAGAAAGCAATCCAGAGCATATAATCTAGTCCATGCATAGAATAATGAAAAACATTTGCTATTGTAATCTGATTATTTCTAATGTGGCAAAAATTAACTAGCACAGCCCCTCTGATTAAGCTATTGTACCCTGTTTTGCCCTCCATGCAATCTCTGAGGAGATTCTCAAGTTGGAGGATTTGCCTTTCACTATACCAGCATCTAAGGCAGACATGAAATTCTTAATCCAGTCTGCATCTCCAACACTGAGCATACTGTGCCAGGAGCACAGTAGAACTCACTAAGTGTAGAAGGAAAGACATTAAATAAAATAATTGAAAACTAGGAACAAAAGAGAAGAAAGGGAGAGAATGAAATTTCAAAAGAAAGGAAAAAATAAAATATACATTACTGATGAATCATGAAGCTGTGTTTAACATATGAAAGATCTGTGACCTTTTAGTGTATCTATGGAAGAATTCATCATAACTTGAAAATTGTGGAAACCATCCTGATTATTGGAAAGCTACAAGAAAGAATCCAAAATAAAATTGCCACAAGACAGAGAAAATCTGATTCTGGTCATCTTTAGTATTAGTTTCACTTACTCAACTGAAATACCTCATACACTAATTTCCTTATTACCATAATGATAGCATTGGCAATCAAGGCACTTGCTTTCCCTATTTTGTGAAATAATTCTTCTTCATTTCATATATGTCACTTAGGCTAAATTCTCCCCTGGACTTCTGAACTCTCCTCCAACTAAAAGAACTGATTATTAAAAAGTGGAAGCAGAAATAACCAAATTGAAATAAAGTCCCCAGGAGTCTCATGATTTGGAAGATTCTGCTGCCCAACTTACATATCTGTGAACTTTCTATGTGGATGTGTCACCACCATGGGCAAGCCACTGGAAAAAGGAGGATCTCGGAGAACCTGGTAACTCACAGGCCTGCATCCAGAACACAAGGAACTATTGGGTCGAGAAGTCAAGAGAGCAGCATCAATTTCCATTCGTTCATCAAAGGTATAGACTTTCACTCCCATGACCTTCTCATCCACGTGGAGTTTGATGGTGAGCGGTATGTCACAAAAAGTGTTTAAGGGCCCAAGGTGCATAGATTCTTTGTGTTCTAGCAAGATCTCTATGTCAAAGAATGCCTTGGAAGAGTTCACGGAGAGGTAAGTGACCCAGAGGGTGAGAGTATCCGCTTGGACCGGATATTGGAAAAGCAGCTCCAAGCTGCAGCCTTCTGCTGGGCAGGGCACGGTCATATTCATGTGGTTCAGGTGGAGCTCAGGACTCCAGGCCTGCAAGCTAGGCTCACAGGGCTGATCGACATCCGGAGGCCCTGGGGAGATGAAAGAAAAGATGCGTGAGGAACCACCATTAAAATCATGAGAAGGAGCAGTCCATATCAGCAGACAGAAGGATGAAGGAGACTTCGGAATTCTTATAGGAAGCTCATCATACGGTGGATTGTTTCTTAAGTGCTCCTCAGGACAAAAGTGTAGAAGTAAAATGTCTGTTCCCTCTATTCTGTCACTTGCACATGGTGAATTTTAAACAAGAAAGTCCCTGGGGAGTGGAAACAGAATGGGATAATGCAGTCCTAGATGGAACCATAAGGCTAACACAGAGAAATTAAGCTCTGTTCTTATGAAAAAAATTGAGCAGAGAATTATCTACACTTAGTTTATTAATAACTATGCTATGTTAACATTTCTAAAGCCTGATGCTAATTTCAAGTTATCGTTATGCTCTTTCTGGTTTTCATCGCTAAATTTTTATTTCCTGAGTTCCCACCTTGGCACTATGACTATTAGCCAAACTTTAAAGTCATGCACTGTGATTTCTATTTCAGTTCAAGTACTTCTATGTAGGCAGGTGATCTCTAGAACTCATCAGCCAAGCAAAAATATAAGGAAAAAAAACAAATATCCCAAATGTATTGCAGTCAGCTCAGGGGACACAATCCATATAAGTATCATTTTCTTTTATGTCACAAGAGGGAAATTGAACTAAGAATATTGAACAAAAAATAGCCATAATGAGGCTTTACTAGACACTGCCCCAGAAGCTGTGAGTCTTGATTTTTCTTATGTATAAATAAGATATATAGATGGCTCAGTGGTTAAGAGCACTGACCACTCTTCCAGAGGTCCTGAGTTCAACTTTCAGCAACCATATGATGGCTCACAACCATCTGTAATGGGATCTGATGCCCTCTTCTGGCGTATCTGAAGACAACTACAGTGTACTCATAGACATAAAAAACAAAAAAACAAAAAAAAAACAACTTCTAAAAAAAAAAAATGACCTGGTCATTTGCTCTTCTAAGACAAAAGTAAGCCAATTTTTCTTAGTAGAATTTTCCAGTGGCTATCTCTAAATACTAGCAAATCCAAGGTCCCCATAGTCCAGTCAGCAGAAGCACTTCCTGTCAAAAGCTTATTATGATCTCATGTGAAATATGGAATAGAAGCCCGGAGGTTGACTTAGTTTGTTTCAGGATACAAGAATTCGTAACCATAACTTCAAATTCTCTTTCCCTTCATCAGATGGCTTTGAACTTTCCCCCAAATTAAAAGGAAAACAGTTTTGGGTCAAGGAGTCAGACCAACACTAAAGTCCCAGCACCGAAGAGCTTGCCATAGAAAGAGCTTTGCATGGACCACCAATCTCCAAAACAGTCTATCCCTGTGTGTTTACCCATTCATTTTGTATCCTTCCCCCAAATCTCTGTTTTGAAAAGATTCCTCTATGATCAGTCCTGTCAATTATCTCCATCCAGCTTTGCCCTTGAGGCCCTATGACTTGAATAACTATGAGCCCAAGGTGTCAATAGGTTGTCATTGTAGACTCATGGGTCATTTTTGTTCTACTTTTCTTGTCACAATCAAGGCTGAAAAAATTAATTCACATATACTGCTTCCAACACACCTTTCTCTGTAGCTTTGTGAGTCAATGGGCGGGGATGTCTAGGAGATAATAAGTAGGTGGGTATCAAAAATAATGGTGAAGAGCTAAACAGAAATGGCACTCTCCTTTAATCCCAGCACTCAGAGGCAGAAGCAGGTGGAGCTCTGATTTGGAGGCCAGCCTGGTCTATAGAGTGAGTTCCAGCACAGCCAAGGACTGAGAAACCCTGTCTTGAAAAAATAGCAGCAGCAGCAGCAACAACAACAACAACAAAAATTCACAGCCAAACAACCAAGCAAAAGATGGTAAAAGCAGAAGTCAGGCCCTTTATCTTGAAGTGCTGGAAGCTATGTCAACAGCCTTTTCTGCATGGACAGTGAAAAGACTCATGTTGAAATTTGTCTTCCAGATCCTGATGTACATATGTGAGTGAGCGTGTGGCTGTTAGATAACTTGGGGGAGGGACAGGAAATGAAATAACGAAAAACATCTTCTCCCTTCTAGAGCCTAGCTTAGATCACATTCAAAGCACAACCAGTACCAGTGATTAATGGACTCATAAAATAGTGTAGATGAGAACAATCCGTGTGGAACACCTAGTCCACCCTGCCCCCACCCAGACTTGCTCAGCCAGTGCATGAGTGTTCTTAGCAATGTGTTCTCTATTACTCTCCTGATATAGAGGAGTAAGAAGTTAGCTTACACCATCACTCACCAAAGCTGCTCAGGGACCAGTAGACATATGCAGCATTTCTGGCCCCAGTTCACCCTGAAGCTACCCTTGAGATGGTCTGAGTTCTCAGTCTCCCGGTATTAAATCTCTGCATTCTCACAGCCTTAGCACATTATAGTGAGGCAGGACACTCAGCATGCAGAAGCACTGGCCATATTTTCAAGATCCTGGGAATACTCAGCAAACCCTCCCTTACCCACATGCAAAATATTAATCAAAAGTCCATGGTACTTTACCCACAGCCTCCTCTGGAGTCCAGTAACCTGAAGAGTCACACACCCGCCCAGAGGATGCCTTGTATACATACTGACGGAATGTGCCATCTTCAGTACAGGTGCCACACATACAGTCAGGGACCCTGGGAAGAGGAAGTGTGAAGAAGGGGTGTTATTATGTTGAGTTAGGAAAAAGAAATCATGAAGACTTTGGAGAAGGATGATGTCACTGGAGACTCAGGCCCAGGGTGACAAGTGGGGATATTAATCATTGCAACCCAGGTTTTTCTTCTGTGAACCTCATCTTTACGAAAATTGCAAGATGCAAGAAACCTCAAAATCAGGAAAAAGAAAAGTGTAACAGAGTCATAAAGGAACTCATGGAGATGTAAGGGAGCTTTGGTCCTAGAATCATTTCTGAACCAACATAAAACCCCTTTTGTATTCAGTAAATAAGTGTCAAGAAGGCATAGAAAACCCATATTTGTCTGCTAAAACAATGTTCTTCCATGTAAAGACACTAGCTATATGTACTATGACTTTTAATCCCCTACTTTTAGATAATCGCACAAGAAGTGTAAAGTGTAGTAACCTTTGATTCTCCATTGCCTGTAGCAATGAATCACAATTTCTTATCAACTCCAGATGGTATGTCAAGCCAACTCCAGCCTTAGGTCCTTCAGTTCCTTCATAAACATTATAATTCTAGCACACATCCCACCACACCATTTTGCAAGTGCTCCATGTCCATCTTGCTGCTCCACAAAATACATGTTCTTACAATGATCAAATGGACTTTTCAAAGGCCCTTGCTCTTACTGCACTTATTCAGTCCTGGCCTTCACAGTGGTGCTTAACCCTCCTTTGAGAGTCTGGTACATGCTTCTGTGTACACACCCTTATGGTTGATCCCTTTCTCAGGACACTGCTGTGTGATGCTACAAATTTATATCTATCCTCTTTTGACGCCTGGGCCTAGGCTTACGAGTATATCTCAGCGTGTTCAGTTCTCATGTCCCTAAGAATCAGCACATGACTGCATTCAGCCAACCCTTTGTAAGGATGTCTATAAGATAATTTAGTCTACAAGAAGGTTTTACAATCATCACATTTGGAGTAACCAGAACATGTAGAGATAAATAGACTAAGTAACAAGAACCAACTGCTTTCTGAGATATCTCTCTCTCTCTCTCCCTCTCTCTCTCTCTCTCTCTCTCTCTCTCTCTCTCTCTCTCTCTCTCTCTCATACCTGGAATCTCCTTAGAAGCCCAGCTGTGAACAGAGTATCTGAAATGCTAGCTTCAAATCAAGGTAGTTTATCAAAAAACATGGCTAGCAGATTAGTATCTTATAATACACTAATGAAGCCATATTATTAAACAAAGGCCATAATTATGACAGGAGCCCCCATCTATTAAGCACTTTACATTCCTGGTCTTGTAGTTTTCATAACTTCTTTCTAATCCCTGTGATGATACCATGCTTACAAATGAATAAAGTTGGAACTCAGAAGGCCTTAAGTCATTTGCCCAATGTCACAAATTCCTTAATTCTTTTGAGCAAGCTCCCAAACACTATCTAGTGTTGTATTTTGGCAACTGAAAGGTGTAGTTAAGACCCACCCTCTCATTCGCTCAGTACTCATTCTAATGTGGACACAATTCCAAGCCACATTTCCCTGATGCATTTGCCCTTCTGGAGCAGTTTCAGAGTGCGTAGCTGGGGCTCCTCTCTGACACAAGGATTCCAAATACCTACAGGGGTGGAGTAAACATTACTCCAGGCATGACACAAATTGCTGGGCATGTGACGTGAATCTCTCCAACACACGTGCTAGGAGGCCTCAAAACTGCAGCCCACCTAGCTGAGAAAAGGAAGCAAATTGCCGTCTTTTCCGCCAACAGACTCTCAGCCAGCCAGTTCTGATGTCTGCTTTATCGTAACGTTTGTACCAGAGAGAGAATTGAAAGATTAAATTGTTTACACATGTTACGTAAACTGATGTAAAACTGGGGTTTGCATGTACCCACAGAGGACTTACTGTTCAGCTGGCCCTGCCAGAGCTACACAAGGTCACACTTGCAGGAGGATGAGTCTTATACACATTGCATAGATGTATGCTGAATCACCAAAGGAACCCATGAAAATCTGGGCGCTGATGACAAGGCAGACTATTTTGTAGCACTGTGAGTGCTAAATGATGTCATGACTAAGCTTGAGTCAAGGGATGAGGATTTCAAGAAACTGTGAACATCACTTTGAAAAAGAATCCACTGGCTTTAGAATATCCTCATCTCTCCTTATCTGTCCTAAACTTCAGGCTTTCACTCAATCCAGAGAGCATGAGGACATGCTCATGGCCGTCTGCTAAGGGTAGCTGGACCTAGATACCCACAGGAAAGTGCTGTCCAAAGAAGAGTAACGGTCCAGTGGTCCCACACCCATAAATACGTGGACAGAACAAAGTGGACCTAAGGGGTTATTTTTTTAAATTGTAAAGGCCAAAAATTTGGGGATATGTAAAAGGTGAGGGTCGATCCAGAAGGAGCCAGAGGTCAATAAGGGTGACTATGGTTAAATTTCATTATATGAAATTCTCAAATAAAATATTATATTAAATGATGGAGTAGATGTCTACTTGCTAAATGGGAAAACTGAAAATTCAAAGTATTCATCTAGTCTGTGTTCCTCACTTCTGGATTTCTCCCTGAATCACCTGTTGAGGGTTTTGAGCTGGTCCCACGTGTCTCTCACTCACAGGCTAGAATGGTGCTCACTGTAATGATTTCATTAAACAAGTAAAGCCAGATATCATGGCGTCTCCCACACCGAAGGGACTGACAGGAAAGCAGCTTCTCCATTATTCAGCTTCTGGGTGTAGGCTTCCAAAAGCAAATTCTACATGGGTCAAATATGCCTTTTCACTTAAACCACATTCCCTATTGCCACATCAGACACACCAGATCTGTCTGTCTATCTGTCTGCCTGTCTGCCTGTCTGCCTGCCTATCTATCTATCTATCTATCTATCTATCTATCTATCTATCTATCTATCTATCTATCTTTCTATCTATCTATCTGCCTATCTATCTATCTATCTATCTATCTATCTATCTATCTATCTATCTATCTATCTATCATCTTTTTGTAAGGAATTTCCTGAGATTAGATTCTACAAGTAAGCAAAGGAAGAATGAAAATTGACTTCAGGTATCATGATTTTCTTCTATGAGTATGAATTAAGTGTTTACTATGGCAGTCAAAGACAGAAACACTAGCTGCCAATACAGGGGGCATATAGAAACAGATGAAAACAGTTTCAGAGAGTGGACATCAGGCAGAGCATAGCAACAGTATTAGAAAAGCTGGCTTCAGTTGATATACCCCTTACAGTTTCTCTTTTCCACCTAGAACTGACTAAAGAAACATGATCTGCTTCCCCTTTCCCAATCACCACTGTCCAAAAAGGAAACCTTACCCTGCAGAGGAACAGCTGGCTAAGACAGATGGGCAGTGCCTGCCAGTTCTGCCAGGCCACTCTTGTGTGGAGTAAGCACACATGATGTACCTCTGGCTCCCATGAGAGACCCTTCACCCTGTTAAGGAGCTGAGCCCAGAGCAGACCCAGGAGGTCAGACTTCTCTCTCCTCTTTTGTAATAGTTCAAAAACAGTGGAGCATCTCTCTCACCTGTCATACAAAACTCCGCTGATAGGAGGCAGCCAATGGATAGTGAGGGACTTGTGAGTTTGCCCAATAACCATGGGTGGTATGGGTATGGGGGTGGGCTTTTGGCTTTCACTCCATTGCTGGTATACGAGGTCCAAGTAGCAATGCATCCGGGCCACTTGGTTGGGGGTGAAGTTGTCAGTGCACGCGTCATCTGTGAAGACAAAAAAAAAGGATGTGGAGGCTGTAGCCTATACCGGGGCACAAAGGCAAGACAGATCTCACTCTGTTCTCGCTATTTCTATCACCTTAGATCTTACATTTATTAGACTCAGAAAACATTAGACTCCGTAAAGAAATGCATTCTTCTCTAGAAAGAAAGCTAGACATGGAAAAGGGAAAACAGATACTTGCTTTTCTCACAAGCAAGGTCTTTACTATACTCTCAGGTTGTCATGAATTCACAGGATTGTCCTAAGCCAGTGGTTCTCAACCGTCGAGTGCTTTAAACCCTTAACATAGTTCCTTATGTTGTGGTGATCCTCAACCACAAAATTATTTCATTGTTACTTCATTACTGCAATTTTCTGCTGTTATGAGTTGTAAATATCTGATATGCAGGACATCTGACATACAACACCAAAGGGATTGCAATCCACACAACTGTCCTAAACTGATGGTTACCTACGGAGCACACCACAAGGTGGCAGTGATTCAGCAGAGGGTCTCCTCACTTGTGTTTGGAATTACCTACATCTCCTACATAGCCCTGTGACTATGCCCAAAGAGGATGAATATTCACTGGAGATGCTCAGTGGAGAGGAAGCTGAAATGTTAAGGAAGCTTTAGGGATGAGAATGCTGTCCCCAATCTTACTGTCAGAGCCAGCAAAATCCCTGTGTTCATTATTCATTTCATAAGGCTGAAAAAGACCGATTTTCATTTCAAGCACTTTTCTATTTGAGTAGCCCATCCTTGCCCCCCATTCTGCCTCTCAACATTGTCTCCCTCACACTTAAAGGTGACAGGCACTTAAGGAATCTCTTCTCCTAGACTCTGTATCTCCAAGACCATCTATCTATCCTTCGCTGAGGGAGACAGAGGTATTGATGCTTATGAATTCCATTCATTGTTCACAACAATGAAATTTAGAGAGAAACATCTTAAGAGGCCACAGGCAGAACCAGGTAGCTCATTGTTCTTTCTTACCTTCAAAGCCACGAACAGGGGCTAGTGGTTTCCCTTTTTAAAGACGCGGAACTAAAAGGTTGCCTTCTTTCATCATTGGAGTAGGTGATCAAATCAAAGTAGTTGTCAGTTTTAATTATAATTATGCTTATCATTAGAACAGTACTTATTGCTACTTTTTGCCAGAAATAAGGAAGGTCTGGGACATAGGCAAAAAGGATGATCCAGAAGAGACTCCAAGAAGAACAAAGCCATGCAATGGAGTTCTCACCAAATCCAACAAGGTACCATTTTAAAAATGAAATTGTATGATTTGGGGCATAGTACGTGGAAAGTCAGCTAAGAGACAATGTTGTGTTAGAAGGCAATCTGACTTTTTACATAGATAAAAGGTATAAGATAAAAGGTTTGGTGCTTCAGTTAATCCAGACAGCTTGTTAACTATCTGTAAAAGTACTAATGGGATGTCTCCACCCAGAGATCTGTCATTCATCACTATCAGACTAGAGAGCCTTCAGGATGCAGGCTTCAATGAGAATCAACACATTGTAAAAGCCAAATAGATCTTAAGAGGGTTTCTGACTTTGTCCCATTTTATTCAAGACAGAAACATGTTTCACCTTCAAGCTCTTGTGGAAGAAAGTCTAGCCAATAAGACCCTGTAATATCTCAGTATTTTGTCAAACTTCAAACATGTGGAAATTATAGGAATATTCAACACAAAGTATACTTCTACTCTGTGACATGAATCTCCCTGACTCCCTTAACTACACCCTAACAATTCTCAAAGATACTAAATGATCTTAACATGAAACAAAAACATCATCATCTGTGGTGATACCTGTGTAGCTCATGTAGTTATTGAATGGAGCTCCTGGGAAGAGGGTGAAGCCGCAGGTGTCATTAGCTGGATCTGGGTCCCGACACAGCTTGCTCTTGGGCGTAGGAGCAGTGTCAGCACACAGGTCTCCTGTCTCCATGGATGGCACTGTCTCTCTACAGGGATCATCACAGGATTCTCTTTCACTAACTCCTTTGAATACATGGTAGAGTCCCAGGACATGTCCCACCTCGTGAATCATGATGTTGGTGTGACCAAGCATGCCATAATAGGTTGGGTTGAGGACGACACCACCTGTAATGGAAAGTTTGGAAAACACCTTTGAGAAAAATAAATGAACAGCAGCCACTCTTAGTTATGCCTTTGACAAACACCAAACAGTCCATCCCAGCCTCTACGAAAATAGTTTATAACTAATGTGTGGCGTCTAATTATGTTCTATGGACACCTTCAGAACTAACCAGCAGACATTTCTCTACTCTCTGTCTTTGGGTCTTTACAGTGACCAAACATATCTGTATGAGAGGGGCAAGATCCTCAGCCCCAGATATAAATTAAATCACTCAGGGGAGTGAAAAATGAAGCTATAAATTGTTAACCTCAACAAATATTTCTAAGTTAGTTCATTCATTAGTATTTTAAAAGCTTGGCTGGAGAGCCATTGCTATGGGCAGATGCACATGAGTTTGAGATCCAGGGAGAGACAGTCAGAGAGATATGTAGTTCCTCTATATACTAACTGCCATTATCCATCTGGTCTCCTAGAAGCTTCACTGCCTGTAAAGTGGGAGTGATAATGCTAACATCAGTGTACTACTTTAGGAGTATTTGGGAGCTATGCCTATTTCTCAGTCAGTAAATGTTTAATTTGTAAGCATGAGGGGCTGTGCTCAGACCCCATTACCCATGTAAACTCAACTGGGGCAGAAGCACTATCCGAGTTTCAGTGTTAGGGAAGCAGAGAAGGGAAATCCTTGAGGATTGCTAGCCAACCACTCTAGCAGAACTGGAGAGTTTCAGGTTAGATAAGATATTCTACATCAAAGCTTAGGTAAAGCATGATTAAGGAAAACATAGACATCAGTCTTTGACTTCCACATAGGAATGTGGACCCATACATAATAAATAAAAAAGTGTTCAACATATGGGGGCTGTTTAATAAATGAGTTAAGAGAATTATTTGTCCATGATTGATCAAAGATGTAGCAAATAGCTGATCATTATGTGCTCAGCCCCAAGTGGTAACAACGCCTGAGGCTCAGAGAACATCCTGGAAGAGAGTAGAAAAACTCTAAGTAAGAGCCAGTGGACTTGAGCAGCTACTGCAATATCCTGTCTTCTATTATAGGCTAGGGAGGCTGTACCCATAAAATCTCAACATAATGGCTGTCTAAACCAGACCTGCAAATCAGTAAAACCAGTTGAGATGCCAACCAGTGTGGGAGAAATTTCATGAAGAGTCGCCCTTAGAAGGAAAGGTACAGGCAATTAACGACTTCTCAGAGAGGAAAAAAATTGTCTTCCCCTAGGAGAAGTCTTCTAATTTGTCATTCAATACTAACTATTCATCTCTGATAACATGTACATAGGAAAAACACTAAAGGACCTTACAAAGTTGTATTTATATTTTTATATATAGTGTTCTTATAACAATAAGAGGAGTGAGAAATAAGGGATGTATCTGGGAGGAATTAGAAGGAGTAGGGTAGGGAATAAATATGATAAAAATACATTGTACAAGACTCTCAAGGAATTATTTAAATATTTTTTTTGAAGAATGTTGCCCCTTTTTCAGCAAGTTCACCTAAAGTGAGTTCACTGCTCCTACTACTGAGAAGCTAGAACTTCCCACTCACCCTCAGCATTTCCATAGAACTCCAAGACAAAGGTAGCGAAAGAACAGGAAATCACGTGAAATGAGTTTAGAGCTGATGAGCGAGCTGGCTTCAATCTGCCCTCCTTACTAAAACCCACCCTTGCTTCCTTCCTTTTCCCATAACTGAACCAATTGACTTGGCATTATTTTTTAGGCTTAAAATCGTCAGAGGAGACTAGGTACAATCAATCTCCAGAGCCTGACAAAGAGAATATAAAGAGACCTAGGACCAGCCTTCAAGGGTTAAGAGTCATCCTGTGCCTCAGTCTCAGACCGGCCCTTGCGTCACGTCTTAGTATAATGTAAAGACTTGCCTCATTCCTAACAACCAGATTCTTTCTCTATTGATGGTCTCCTGGGAATGGCCAGTGCTCAAGAGGCTCTGCCTCTCTTTGGCCATAGTCTGTAAAGGTAAGTATTGGGATTATGAAGATGGCAGTGGATCCAATAAATAATAGGATTCAGGAGAAACTGAAACAGTAATGTGAATGGATGAGGAAGGTTTTTTAAATACTCACATTTTTGCTTAAGTCTTTGTTATCTTTTTCTGTTGCCAGAGTCTCCTGCATGTCTTACCTCACTAGGATGCAAACAACAGAATTTTGAAAGCGTGGACTAGAAGATCCTTTCCTGGATGTGGATTTCTCTTTATAGCCCTGGTTGTCCTGGAACTTACTCTGTAGACCAGGCAGACCTCGAACTCAGAAATCTGCTTGCCTCTGCCTCCCAAGTGCTGGGATTAAAGGCATGCACCACCACTGCCTGGCCCTAGATGTGGATTTCAAAGGGCTGTGCCATCTGAGTCCTGAAGGGACTGTGGATTGGCCAGCAAGACATGTTAACTAAACATTGTCATCTTAACCTTCACAGTACTAACAATACCCTCCACCACATTAGCCTTTAAAAGACTCACAAGTTGAAAGAAAAGAGATAAAAGATATGTTGTGAATGTGTAGGTGTAGATGGGTCTGATAAAGTTGATCATCCTGTCCTTTGAGTATCAAAATTTAAGGCGGATTTATGAAATCAGATAGCAGATAGATTTTGTATCATTATAGAAGTAGATTCCTGAGGAAGTGTCCCGGTCCTATAGAAGAGTGACTGGATAGAGAGGAAGTGAGGAGGGTAACACAAAGAGACAAAGTGACACATGAGTGTGACGCTGTGATGAGAATGATGATCATCTCAGGTGGTCAGCATCACCTGGTGACCAAGGGCAAACCAGACCATAGTCTGAAGTAGAAACTTCTAGTTACTTTGGAAAGTTAGTTATGTCAAATGATGTTTTGCTGGGGCATACAGGTGAAATGATGTCTTGCAAAGGCAGACACACGAAAGAATGTTTTCCTGAAGCAGACACAGGTAAAAAGGATATTTTGCTGGAGCAGACACAGGTGAAAGGATGTTTCGATATAGCAAACACATGAAAGGATGCTTGATGAAGGAGTAAAAATATAACCCCACAGAAAGTGGGGGATGAACACTGAACATTGGGTTGCTCTGCCTTACTATTCTTTGCAAATAACATGCATGTACTGGTTTGCCTTACGTAGCGTTGTTGAGCTCCAGCAGTGGTGACTCCAAAGAGAAACTTGTCCAAGAATTGTTCGTGGGTTTCCTGCCGGTTGGCAAGCCTTGCAGTGTTTTCAGGGTTGTACTACAGCTGCTGGTTCATGCCTGATATCTGCCTGCCCAGAGGACTGAATTGTAGCTGCTGAGTTGTATTTGATGTTTGCTATGGGACTGAACTGCTGAGAAAGACGATTGAGTTCGCCTCCAAAAAACTATTTCTGAACAGGTCCACTTCCCCCACATCCTAATAACTTCTTTCCCATTACCTCTGCTGGGTGGTTGACTAGAGGTGAGGTTGAACCCTTATTAAAAGTAGGTTGCAAAAAACTTACCCTACAATGGTCCCTCTGTAGTCAGGATGTATGAACCATCCATCATTCCAGCTAGATGAAGCCTCAAGTGAAATGAGACTCGACTGAGTACATTTTTACTATTCATTAACATGGGTGTTCAAAACAGAAATCAAGGTCAATTATGGAGTACATTTATACTAGCTGCATGCTTGCATGTATGCATGGAGAACTGGACTCAAAATAGGGCTATTATGATCAACTTTCAAATGTGGCACAGAATGAATGGAACTCTTTGCACTTAGCAACTGGTGATCATGTGTGGCACAGCTGTTCCCTAACGGACTTGCAGGAGGAATGCAGATGTGCCCACTTAGAAGGCCTTTCAGCTTTGATTATGAAGAACAAGCTAAAAAAGTAAGGCAGAGCTGTTGTGTGGTCTTCAGAATGCTGCAGGGGATGAAAAGAGAGAGAAGTTCCTGATGAAAAGATGATTCTGAGCTGTGGAAAGCCAAGCCTCCAGAATGATGCTGTGCCCCCAAGTTCCCACTGGTTTTCCCCAGAACCAACATGAGACCGCCAAAATGGCTCATGGTAAAGAGATTGATTCTCAAAGCTATTTCTATTTAAAAAAAAAAAAAAAAACTTAAGCAATTTGAGTAAAAGGCACTGGTTGAAATTATTTTTAAATGGTTCTGTAAAACTTTTAGGGCTCAATGTTATATGCCTGTAAATCAGGGAGTCCAGAGCTGGTCTGTGTCTATATAATTATTTCCAGCTCCTGGCTACCGTACATTTCCCTCAAAACATATTCTCCACAATGAAGGAATAAATTTGTAAAAAATGTGCCTTAGCATCCAAGGAAAGAGTACTCTTGGAGAAGGCAGAGGAAGAAAATGGTAAGAGTGGATGGATAGACAGAAGGGAGAGTGAAATGAAGAACAAAAAGACAAAATGAGATCTGTAAAGGGGTGTGGACCTGTCCAGAACCAGACAAGAGACTACACATCTCTAAGACTCTTGTTGCTTTCTTGGTTCTGCATCCTGTATTTTCATTGGATGGAAGTCTTTGTTCCAGACAAGACTGAACAAACCCTGTATGTTCAAGATGAAGAAAGATATCACAGAATCTGATGTCAGTTTTATTTACCTATGTGCCCTTTCAGTGACACCTGTCCCTGGTTGTCATACACTGGTTGGCTCTCAAGCACTTCTGCATCATGCAAGAAAAGTAATCTGATGAGTTTAGACTGCAGATGTTACTAGAATGGGATCTGAAAGGTAACAAGCAGATGGGACCTTGCACTTTACTTGTTAATTAAGCATGTGTGCATGCACTGAGTGTCAGTTTTCAGCTAGGAATTGTTTTGGTTTTGTTTTTTACTTTGCTTTGATTTTGAATCAAGTATTCAACAATTGCCAGGATGTATTTTAAAAGAGAAAAACTTTCAAAGTTTTACATTTAAGATGATTGTGTTTTGGGTTTGGTTTTTTTGTTTGTTTTGTTTTCTTGTTGGTGGTGGTGAAGGTTGTTTTTTGCTGAGGGATTGTGAGTG